ATGGATTGTGATAAGAGTTGTATGAACCCCTAATAAAATGATTTTTTTTAAAGAAATTTTAAAAAAGTTCAAGTGGTCGGACAGTGTAAGACAAGACAAAATAATAATTTATAAATTATCAAGGGTTCATGAGAGAGGGGAGGCGGGGATGAACGGGAAAAAATAGGGAGCTGATACCAAGGGCTCAAGTAGAAAGTAAATATTTTGAGAATGATGAGGGCAATAAATGTATAAATGTGCTTGAAAAAAAATTGCAAGTGAGCTTCCAAGACACAACAATAGGTCTTTGTCTAGAGTAAAGAGGAAGGAGGAGAGTCAGGAATACTGTAGGATATGGAATATTGGCTATCCATGAACAACTGCCTCCTTTGCCCTGAGGCTAGAAATGAATGGTGCCTATCATAGCTAAACATTTTTTTTTTCCATAGCTAAACATTTTGATCAAAGATTCAACAGATGAATCCTGATCAAAATCTGAAGAATCCTGATAAACAGCAAGGAAATGAAGAACAGAATTTCAAATTCTCAGACTCCACCACATCTTCTGGAGCATGGGAGCTGGATGAACTCCTGCAACTGTTGCCCTAAGACAGCTTTGAAAATTTGAACCAAAAATATCCCCTCTTATCTTATTAAAATTGAACAATAGTTTAGCTTACTTAGTGAAAATGTCTTTGTTGAGCATAATGCTCTTTTAAAAAGTACCTGTACGGGATCAAAGTGACAACAGCAACTCAAAAGATTAGACAGGAACCTTAGGGGGAAATGAGTTGATGTGCAGGGGGAGGAACAATTCAGAAAAAGAGGGTGAGAGTGGTTGCACAACTCAAAGAATGTCATCAATGTCAGTGAGGTGTGCAAGTAAAAACGGTTGGCGTATGTTTGGATGTGTATATTCTCTGCAACAACAACACAAAATTTAAAAATAAAATAAAATTCTGGGACATGTCATGGAACAGACACAGAACAGAGGCAGCGGGGCACACCAAGAATTCAGGGATCCACTGGCCACCCTTCTTAAAGATCTGTGTGAGATACTTAGGGACAGAGATGTAAGGCGTCACATTCCAGACAAACACATGTGATAGACCACAGGAAGTCAAGGATTATTATAATCAAGTGTGCAGCCCTTGTGAACTGACTGCTGCCCTTACCACTGGAATTCTGATGTAATGCCAACACGACGTATGTGTTCAACACAGCTGGAGCATGGCATCCACATCCCTAGAATGGAAAGTGGAGCTACAAAGGGATAGATGGAAACACACCCTAATATGTGGCATAGCAGAAAGAAATCACTGTCTTGTCAAGACTCTTGAAAACAAACCAAAAAATCATTTGCTAACTTACCATTTCCCACATGAGTTCCTGCTATCAGGTGAAGGTGCTGAGTGCAGGCAGTTGCAAGGTCTACCACTCTATCGACCATAAAACTTCCCTCTGTATCAATAAAAATGGCTTCCCCTGCCACTCCTCCAAAACACTCTGGTATCTGCACATCTACTGCCAACTGCATACTGTCAAGAGAAGAAGTCAAATAGTGGAATCAATCGTGATTACCGAAGGCAGTTTTCAAACTCCAGATCCATTAGGTAACATTATGTATTTTATCGATGCAACATATTTTGGGTATTAAAAAAAGATAAAAGACTCCTGTTTATAACTAGTTTCCAAAGAATTAGGAAAGATGTGCAAAATATTATACCACTTATTAATACTGAGGTAAAAAATAATTTTCATTTTATATATTTTAAGAATAATTAACAAAGTCCATGCCCAAGAATATTCAACAAACAAAACATCACGTTTTTGTTTTTTTCTAATCATTTTATTAGGG